CGCGGCACGTGCGGAGGACGGGGCACGCCCCTGGCCGCGCTCGCGGCGCCACAAATCAGCACCCAGGGCTCGCCCCACGTGATGCGGCCCGCCGGCCCTTACGGGACTTGGAGGACGGCCGGGCTGTCCAGTCAGAGATCGGCGTTGCTTGGGGTGGTGGCCAATCGGCTGGGAGGGTGGCTGTTCCGTGGTTCGCAGTCTTCCTGCGGCAAAGGCCAATCAGCGCGTGGGTGGGCGGGGCACGGAGCGGAAGTGTGGTTGCCCGTGGGTCACCTCCGGGCCCGGGAAGGTGCGGGGTGGGGGCTGCGGCTGGCGGGCACGGGGAGGGTCCCTCTGCCTGGGGTGTCCTGCTCCCTGGGGCTGGAGGAGCAGGGGGGCCCCTGTGGCTGGGGGGCCCTGTCCCACTGATGGGAGCCGTGCCCCGTGGTATCAGGGGAATGGGGACCGCCTCACTGGGGCGCCTTGCCCTACGTGTGGGAAAGGACAGTTCGGGGGTGGAGGGCTCTGCTCTGTAGGACCCGGGGAAACGGGGACTCTGTGCCTGGGGCAGGGAGCCTCGCTCCGTTGAAATGGCGAGGAAGCTGGGGCTCCATGGCAGGTGGGGTCCCACGGCTGTAGGGATGGAGCTGCAGTGTGGCTGGAGTTTGCGCGGTGGCAAGGGCTGGGTGTAGGGACAGCAAGTGCCTCTGTGCAGGCCACTGTATGTTGCTATCTAGGGCACCTCCTGGCTTGGGGGCTGCCCTGCAGAGGGGACTCGGCATAGGTCGGTGCTGCAGTGGGACTGGCTATGGGGTGCACCCACTCCACATACCTCTTCCTTTCCCCACAGATGGCCCAGAGGCTGGTGCTCCAGCGACTGCTGTCCCTCACCCCCAGGACACTACCCCCGCAGAGCTCTCTGGCACCGTGTGTGCCCCCGGCACCTCACAGTAGGGCCTTCAGCACCTCAGCAGCTTGCAGGAGCACCTTCAACGTGCAAGATGGCAACGACTTCCAGGACCGGGTGGTGAACAACCCCAAACCTGTTGTGGTGGACTTTCACGCACAGTAAGTTCCCCCCCCTGCCATGGCTCTTGTGGTCCTTTCTGCTGTTACGCATGCAAGTGTGTCCCTGCTGCTTTCATGACACTGTGGCACACTGGAGATGTGACAATGCCCAAGGGTTTCCCAAGCTGTGGAGCTGCTGACTGCCCTGCTGGGCATCTGGTGTTAAAAGGTGCTTCTGCCCCTACAATGCAATCCACAGAGGTTTCGCTTGTCAGGTTGCTCCACTGTAGGTGTAGCTACACCCTGCAGGAACACAGAACACAAGTGCCAGGAAGGTATTCCCCAGGGCTATGTAGCTGCACCTCCCAAGTGCACAGGTGTCATCCTGGCGGTGGCATTGCATCATCCTGTGAAAGACACCTCAAGAAAAAGCTCTGATATCTCCTATTTTTAGCTTTGTGGGTTAAATGGCCTCTTAGAAACTCTAAATTATGTTAACGGCTTTGGAAGAACACTGCACTTGGTATACCCTTGCATAGTTGTGTTGTGTCTTTCCGGTTTTCTTACCCCGAGTACTCTTGAGGCTAGGCTCTTAACAGAAACTGCCTTTATGTATTAATAACAGCCACATGATAACAGCAGCATTTGTCAGTGATAAAAACATTGTCATCCTCTTGACAGTAAAAATATTCCTAGATGTTGTGTGCTAGATTAACAATACTGATCATCTTTGTTTTCTCATGTATTTTCATAGTCCTGCAGTGTTGTCATGTGAGCCTGTTGTGGCTGATTTTGGGCAGACAGAGTATGAAACAGCCCAAAAGGTTCTGCTCTAAATAGACCAAACTGACAAACCAAAATGAACACTAATTGGCACCATGCAGGGAGGAGAGAACAACTAACTGAAAGCCTCAAACCTAATACGGAGACTGAGGAGGAACAAAGTTTACCAAAGCTTCAGTTTTAAAAGAAAAGGGCACATGGAGCTTTAACTCATGTTTTCCTTGAATGGAGTAAGTTCATATCATCCTAATGTTAGGGGATGCAGGGGGTGCGTTCAGGGCGTCAGAGTCTGCAGTTGCAGCACCTGGGTTTGGAATGGGTGGTCTCTCTTTGAACAAATGCAATGCCTCTATGAGTTTTGCAGTAGAAGGGAAATTTCTGTAAACCCTGCAATGAGTGTGGAGGGAAAGACTGATCTGATGGTTAGCATAAACCAATCTGAGTGACTCCCATACCCAGCAGCAACACTCTCTCTAGGGCAGCTCTGTGGTCAGCAGGGTCACAGCTCTGTTGGTACACACCAGCAGGGACACAAAGCAAGGTAGGGACGAACAGCCAAGAGGGGAAAGAAGGACCACCAAGGCTGGCAGAGCAGATCACGGTATGATCAAAATGACATCAAAAGCACCACGAAAGCTGAATGGTGACTACTTCTTCTACTTGACACCCCCCACCACACAGATATGCATGCACACACAGAACCCTTTGACAGTGAGAGAAGTGTTTTCCTAAACAGTGATTCGGGAATGGTGTTTCCAGGCTGGCTCTCAAATGGAATGGCAGTGGTGGTAAAGGCACTGGTGTACCAGGAAACCTGCTGCTGTGCTTGCCTCCTCTAATGTCCCCTTTCTTTCTCCATCAGGTGGTGTGGCCCCTGCAAGATCCTGGGCCCCAGGTTAGAGAAGATGGTAGCCAGGCATGATGGGAAGGTGCTAATGGCCAAAGTGGACATTGACGATCACACAGACCTTGCTATTGAGTACGAGGTAGGAGTTGGAAGAGTGCAGACTTTCTTCTGCTGGTGGGCCAAGGAAGGTCCCTTTTTGGGGAAAGGTGTGCCTGCACAGCAGTGGCATTGTTGGGGAGAAGCCCAGTGCCTACAGGTTCCTGATCCCTCAGGTCACTCATTAGTAGGTGGATTTCACTGCTTAGCTCTCCTCCAGGTCTACTGCTTGTGCTCACCATCCCCACCTCTAATTCTGCAGAAAGGTGTCCTCTAAGCTTTGCAGGCATCTGTCAATGTAAGTACTTGCCTGGCCTTGAGGCAGAATTTTCCTGCATGCTTGGGCTGCTCAGGTGCAGGGTGGGAATGTGAGGTAACAAGACTTGATCTCCTCTGCTCTTGAACGTGGTTCTTTGTGCAGACAGCCCACCCGCTCTTTCCCTTCCTTGTTCAAGATTATTTGCTGGGTGATAATGTCCTGTCCTTAAGCCACAGCACAAGGGGACACCATGGGTTTTGTTTGGACAGGTAGAATACAGGTCAGAGAACACATGTAAGCAACAGGAGCATGCATCCTGCTCGTGACAAGCAAGGACCTTGGTGCTTAAACTAGTGTTTTACACAACCGTCGGGTGTGTTCCCTGTGCTGCCTTGCTCCCAGGAAGGAGCAGAGTGACTGGAGAAGGCCATGTCTTTGGTTTACATGACTGATTTATTTATTTTTACCCTCTGTCAATGATTAGGTAATTTAAGAAACTTAAAAACTCCTCTGGTGACTGTGCTCACATCCATTGTCTCTCCTTGTAAACAGCCACTTAGTCTACAGAGCCAGGGCATCATCCTACTGCTGTGTTTTACAGGAAAGAAGATGGTTAATTTTCACTTGCCTGTCACACAGGTGGATCTGCTCCCTCTCTGCAGGTGAAATCCTGCTTCCAGGGTGGAGGCTAGCACAGGAAGCTCCTCAGGTTGTCCAGCAAAGTGTGAACCATTTCCTGAGTAAGCTGGCAGTTTGAGCCTGGAGGAGATGCTCTGTGTGGTTCCCACACCCTGCTGAGCTGGAAGGGGAAGGAAGTAGAAACAGCTTGTTCCCTCCCACTCTTTCCCAAGGAGACCTTTCTGCCTGTGCTGTGGTGGCATGTCTACCCAGCTGGTGCCCACAAACCCGACTTGCAGCTTCCACAAGCTGAGTATGAGAGCCTCTGGTGCTCTCCTCTGTGGTGGTTTGCTGGCAGATACACCCCAGGCCAAGGAAGATGGCTGCTGGCCCTGGAGCGAGGCTTTGTTGCAAGCCCGAAGGCTGTGTAACTTGAGGGTGCCAGTGAGAAGAAGTTGAAGAAGGTGAGGTTGTTCCAGTGGTGGTCAGAAAGCACATAAATACTAATAGATGCAGGCAAGCTCTGGTAGCAACCACCCTAAGGAGAAAAGGAGAAGAGAACAGAGATTATTATCTTAATTCTTGTGTTGTTCCAAACCTTCCAGTAGATTGAATTGGCTGGCATTACACGGATATAGTCTCAGATGGCTGGAAAATGGCAGAGTGTGTGCATGTGAAGAAAGGTCTTTTTAGAGGTTGAAAGTTCCCAAGTTGTGCAGGTTGATGACACGCTGCATGTGCTCTCCCACTGGTGAGTGAGCAGCTGCACAGCCTGCCGTGTACATACATTTGTCTGCAAGGTCTGCTTGTCTTTCAACCCTGGTGACATAGGTGCAGGCAGGATTGCAGCTGCAGGCAAGGGCCAGTTTCCAGCAATTCATTCTGTAGCCTTATATACAAACATGATGAAGTTTTTGTTTTGCAGGAGAGCCTGGGGATCATTGCTGCATTATCTGCTCTTGGAGTGATGCATATATCTGGTCTTGACCATTATCCCCATGGCTAAAAGCCCATCCCTAGGCAGTGTCTGTGATTAGGATAGCTGCAAATGAGTAGAGGTAAAGGAATAATTTTTGTTTTGATCTTCATAGTTCAGGGCATTCTTTTCAGAGTGGAGTTTGGCTCATGTGCTGAGCACGTGCTGGGTTTTGCTTCATCATCTGGGAAGTTGCCACTTAAGGAGATGTGAGCATAAGGGCTGGTGGGAGAACACCAAGTTGATATCAAAGATGGACCAGAGGTAGTGTTTGGGAGGGATCAGGAAAGATTTATTTGTTTAAAGCCATTCTGTTGGGGATCAGATGTCTGCAGGCTGAGAAGGTTTTTCTTTTGGGTGTTTTCAGTGTCCATGCTATCGCTACAACTCCTTCACTAGCTGCCAGGAAGTCTCCTTCCATCCATGTTTATTCCCCTGCCCATGCATGCAGCCACCAGCTTGCTGCCCAGTTGCACAACATCCTCATCAGCAGCCTCCTTGGCATAGGGTGGTGAGGCAGGGCGAGGGGAGAGACCCCCTGGAAGAGCTGAGGAATGCCAGCACATTGCTTCACACACACTGCTGTCTGCCTTTGGCTCCCAGCTGTCCAAGCTTAGCATGGAGTGGGGACATGTTTCTTGTGACTAGAAACATCCCCAGCACCCTTCCCTGTCCTGTTATGTCCAGCACAGAAGTTCTTTGGGGGTTCCTCCTTTTATCTAATACCTTTTATCTCTGGTTCTGGCATTTCTCTGCTGCTCCAGCCTGCTCCTGACTTGTCACCCCAAGAGCCGAAAGGGAGAAGGAATATTTCTGTTTAAGATGCTGTCTCTTCAAATTCTTTAGATTCATCTCTTGCCTTGACCCGTTGCCCATGCATGTGGCCACTAGGAAAGGGCAGCCCCTTCTCTGTCTGCTGCAGGTGGGCAGCTTGGGAGAGCTGCTGAATACAGGGATGGTTGTTCATCAGCAGACTTTGGTCCTGTGTTATGCCTTATTCTGAAGCCTGGCTGAAATCCTTCCCCCTGCTCCATTGTGGCATATGAGCTTGTATAAAAGCCTCGGTTTCAAATGGGAGAGAGTTCCCTCAGAACGGGTGCTGCCAAGAATAGCCTGGATGGCTGTGTTTGTTTATCTGTATGGTCAGTGCTGATTGAAAGCAGCCTGATTTTTTTTCTCTAGAAATTCTCTTAAGGGAAGAGGAGGAGGGTTTAAGTTCAGTGCAGATGGGACCCAAAAAAAGAAAGAAAAAAAAAAAAAGCTCCAACTTTGTGTTGTAGAAATTCCCATGACATTTGCTTCTCAAGCAGCAAAATAAAGTACATGCTCTTAACAGGCTAACCTTGCTGCATCTAGCAGGAAGGAAGCTGTCAAAACCATATTTTCTGGGCAGAGGCAAGTTGTTCAGTGCCCTTGGTTCTCACCCAGCTCTGCAGCAGCAGCCCCAGACCTGCCACCTCTTCTTGGGGTTTGTTCACCAGCACGAAAAGGGGAAGAGACAGAGGCGTTGTGAAGCTCATGGGTGCTCTGGTCAGCATGCATAGCCCTGTAACTCAGTGGTAGCTGCTTCTCTGTAGTGCTTTGAAGAGCTGCCTGTTCCTGACCCAGGCTGCAATGGCCTGATGCTGCTGCTGGTCGGGCATGCTGGTTTTTTGGATGAAGCTGGGGCAACTCTGTTCGTTATTAACCCATTTTGCAAACCAGAGGGAGGCTCAGAGGAGCTTTCCCCTTCTCGGGGAGGAAGAGACCTGTGCAGTGCTGGTACTGTCTTTTTTCACCCCTAAGATCACAAGGGAGCATGTTGGTAGCACCACTGCCAGTGCTGGGGCCTGAGCCCTCCGGATCTGCTACCGTCAGTCACTAGGAGGAGCCAAAGATCGCGCGTTGCAGCAGACCCAGCGCTCCCATCCCTTCAGATGAGGACAGGCTGCGAGGAGCCACGCTAGACTGGCTGGCTGGGATCTGCTGGGAAGGGAAGCACAAAATGTCCCTTTCATCTCAGTCTCCCGATGGGAGAAAAGCCATCCCTCTGGCAGGTTTCCTGAGGAAGGATTTGCAGATCCTTTCAGGCAGCAGGGCTGGCAGCGCATGTGGGAAGGCCCTATGGGCTGGCAGGGAGGCAGCAGGCCAGATAAGGACAAGACGTGTTTAGCGGGGGAAGCTTTGCACACATAAGGGCACCAAAACTGTGGGGTCAGAAACACCACCATATCTCTTCTCTGCCACAGCTCTCTGAGCTCTGGTTGCTCCTTCTCTCAATCATGTCCCCAGGGTCTCTTCTGTCACTGGTCAGCTGGCAAATCCCTGAGGATCATTGTCATTTCCACTGCTGTTCTCTTGGATAATTACCAGAAATCTTTGTTCTAGGATAAAAAAGCAGCACCCAGAGCAGTGGAGCGGTCTGCTGGCCCTGCTGGCTCTGGTCAGCGGGACTTTTTCACTTCTTACCTAATCATCAGGGATCCGCAGCGGACAGCACTGGTGTGTGATCAGCTAAACCACTGAAAACAGGAGCAGAAAAGGAACGAGATTGTCATTACTGTGGTAGGATGGAGTGATGAGGCAGAGAACCCTCTTGCAGCTCCAGTCCTGTCTGGAGAAGAACACAGGTCCAGTCATGCCACTGTGGCCATAAAATGTCCAAAGGCCATCGTGTCTGAGAGGTGTCCTGGCAAAAGACTGGGTTTGTTTGCTTATGATAAGACAGAAGGAAAGGAGAAGAGGAATTTGTACTGGAGAAGGGGGGAGAAGATTTGCCTCGTTTTTATATTATCTTTAGTTTTGTCTTTAAAATTTTGGCTCTTACTTAAACTCGAAAAGCTGCTCAGCTTTGACATAAGCAGTGTGATGTCAGTCAGTGCAGAGATGAGGCCAAGGGAGCATGGAGCTCAGCTGGCCTGTGTTTTGTGAGCAGACATGTTACCCTTGAGCAGTGTATGCACTGTTACCTCTGCAGTCACTTCTGTGGAGCTCAATTTGAGGCCCGGGTGCAGCTGGGTTCCCCACAGCCTCTCCTCACGTGTGTCTCCCTGTTTCTCTTGCACCCAGGTGTCAGCAGTGCCAACTGTGCTGGCTATGAAGAACGGAGATGTTGTGGATAAGTTTGTGGGCATAAAGGATGAGGATCAGCTGGAGGCATTCCTCAAGAAACTTATTGGAGCCTGAAGTAAAAAGGTGGCAGTACCTCTGCCTCTGGACACATCCACGTTGTGCATTCCTTGCCTGGGAGAGCTGAGGCACCTTCTACAACCTAGGATTTTCTTTCTGGTTTGGGATTTTTAGGAGATGGACAGTGTTGTAACCCTTCCCTCCCACTCCCACTTCTCTTGAGCAGCAGTAGTTGTAAAGGGCATTGAGGAGCAGGGCTGCTTTATTTTCAAAAGGGGGAATGCAGCTGGATTACACCAGCCTGTGTTTATCAGCAGAGAGATGATGTGCAGAGCTGCTGCTGCTGAGTTTAGAGGAGTGTTTTTGCCTAGCATCTGATAGCCCAGAGCAGAGGGCAGCTGCTTCCTGCAAGATGTGGGTACATACCTGCCCTGGGTGGGTTTGTTTAAAGCTGAGTATGCCTCTGCCTTGTCTGTTAAACCTGTCTTTGTTCCTCTGTCCTTGTGTTGCTGGACAAGTACAACTCCTCCACAAATCCCTGGGCTCCCATCATAATTTTATGAGATAAAATAGAAGTATTTTATGGATCTCCTTTTGTAGTCCTGTAGTAAAGAGAACTTTATTGGTCACTACTGTCTAGCTGGAGAATAAAACTTGGTTCTCAGAAAACACAGGAAAGTCCCTTGTCTGTCCAGGGAGGTGGGAGGAAGCACCAGCAGCACAATGGCTGGTTTCTAACAGTGGGTTGGGAGAGCACGTCATGGCTTGATCCCTGCTGAAAGGTAATGTGCTGAAAAACAAAGCAAGTGGATTACTTTCACAGGTTTCAGTGCTGCTGGATCCAGGATGCTGGACTTGTATCCTGTGTGCAGAGGAACAGTGGGTTGTTGCACACAAGGAACCTGAGCTGTGCTTGCTCCTCCCATGGCTTTCTTGCTCCTTTCCTGCCTGAGAGTCTCCCTCTCCCTTGTGTGAATGATTAAATCTGCTCACGCAGGTGAGCCCTGCCAGAAGGCAGTCTTTTGACTTTAATTGCACTGACCTTTAGACTAAGTGAGGCAGTTGTATGCTTGTATCATGAGCAGCCTTCAGCCCTTCCCATCTCTTCCTCCTCCTCCCATTATACACTCTTTCCAGTCAACCTGGCTTCTGAGTGCTCCCAGCCTCCTCCTGCACTCGTAGGCATAGCACCAGGGCTGATGCCTGCTGTAATGCTTAGTCCCAGTTTGTTTATCTAAGCTGCATGAGAACATTATAAGTGCTTAATAACCATGTACAAGCTGCTTTTTTTTTTTTTTATCTTCCAAGCTTCTGTTTCCTTCAGTCACTCTTTACTCTGCTTTGGCTCTGCTCTGGCTCTGCTCCATTTCACCTCCCTGGCATAGGCTGTTATGAGCAGCGAGGCAGTTTTTTTTCTGCACCTTTGCAATAACAATTTTATGGCCTTTGAAGGAGCAGGGGAGTGGTGATCTAAGTCCTGTGTGTCCTGCTGCAACTGCAGTGCTGCAGGCATCACTGTTCCCACCTGCTTCCATCATCCCTGGGGCCTGGGCAGCAGCACAAGGTGGTGCTGAACCCCCCAAGATGGGTACCTCCCCATCTGGGCTGGGCTGATCTCACCCCCAGCATGCTGCTAGAGGTGATGATGCTTGTTTAAAGAACTGTTGGTCAGTCACAGTCAGTAAAAAACGTCATTTTTTATCTATTTGGGAGACCACGGAAGCTATACTGGCCATGTCCTGCTCATGTTTCAGGCCAGGCAATTTGCCCTGCAGTTTCAGTGTTCCTGCTCCGTAAACACTTCTAGTAAAGGCTGTCTCCATTTTCCTGCATGAGCAGGAAAAGTAGGGGAACAGCGTCATGTACTCGATAATGTCAACTTTCATGCTTCACTGTCCTACAGAACAGGAAAAAACACGGTGACTTTGCATTGTGTAATTAAGGGACAGTATAAATTAGCTATTTTATAACTTCCTTCTAAGGAAAAGTGGAGCTAAGGTGCCATTCAGCTATTAAAGTGCCAGCATGCTTTAGGGTGTGTTATATGGAAAGCAAATTATGTTTCTTTGAGATAAATGCTGAAGATCCACATACATGGTGCCCTGTGGAAATCCTTGAGAAATGGCATAACAGGTGGAAAGAAAGAGGGATTTGGGGGTAGCTTCAGATTCCCTGAGCACTTTGCCGTTTTCACCACAGGACAGGACTCAAATCACAGGGATGTTTTCTGTGGCAGGATCTTAATTCAGCTCCCTGTTTGCTGACTGCTAAGGAGACTTCAGGGATTCCCACAGCTGCTGTTAATAACAGAGGAGGTACAAGTGGGAAGCACTACCACCAGTGTATTTAAGTAGTAGTTAAAAGAAGGCTTGCAGGTGATTTTCATGCCACCTGAATGTGATGTTGGTCTTTCCCGAGAGAAGAGAGCTGAAGCAACAGGTAATTCCTCAGCAGTAGCTGCTTTTTTCACATCATCTGAGAAAATGTTTCCTTTCTGCTCACTCCAGCAAGGATGCAGTTTGTTTTCCCTTTTGGAGTTAAGCACATGTGATCTATTAAGCATTTGCTTTCTCCTGCCCAAGCCTACCTATATTACAGCAGCTTTCTCAGCTTCTAATGTTCCTGGTTGCTATTTTAAGAGGACATGGCGGTCAGTGCCTTCCCAAGGGGAGCAAAGCTTGACTAAACCTGCTTTTCCCTCCCCAGGTATGTTATGAACCCAACACCAAGATCCCCCTGTCAGGGGTCAGGCCCAGTGCCTCTGTCCTCACAGTCTTGTCCAAGGCAGTGGATTCCAGGCAAGCTGTTTTCCATTTGTTTCTGTCGGCTTTACATTTGCATCAAGCCCTAACGCAGCTGCTCTTTTCCCCAAGATGTTTGTGCCTGCCTGCTGAACTTCCAACTGCTCTGGGCCACAGCAAACACCTGCAAGGAGGAAGAGCTGTGCTACTCTCTCTTCTAGGGGTGCTATGCTGAGACCAGCTTCAAGTGCTGGTAGAGGATGGAGAGTTCAGGCTGCCTGGCTTGCAGCACACAGCAGGGTGTGTATATGTGGTCCTCTGCAGCTTTGAAGGGGACAGTTCTGGCCACATTTAGCTCCACTGAGGTCTGGCCTCAGCAGCCTGGCCACCCAGCATTAACAGTAAATCCTTTGCTTTATCAATGTATTTTATGATTCCTCCTGTGGAAAGAACAAAACAAAGACCAGCTCCATGTCAACAGGGAAACGTCCACCACTCATGCTGCCCTAGGCAGAGCCTTTTGCCAGCCTGGCGGGCTGTTTGCCCTAACTGTTAATCGTTTTGAGCTTTACACCCCCCCATCTCGTTTTTCTAATCTAAGTAATTAGTGGATTCAGACAGAATTGGCAATTCTCCAACCCTGCAAGGCTGTTAGCAGCAACATTAAGATCAGCATTATTCAAAACTTGCTGTAATGTGTTAAGTGCTCACTGTGAGTTTCAGCTTTCTGCAAGTTAAAGAATAACAGCTAGCACAGCTGCAGTATCCTAAGCAATAAAAAGATAAGATAAAACTACCACAGGCTTGACTTCCAGAACAAAACCAAACTAGATTACCTGTTACAGTCTGGTCCTTGTTACCTGCCCCTGCAACCCACCCAGGTTCAAGTCCATCACCACACACAGGTGCCTTCCTGTAGCTCTTCTCAAGGACACGGAGTGTGCTTGTGAGATTTGTGATTTTTCTGGAAGAGGATGGAGGCAGGAGCAGCAGAGGAAGCCCCAAATTTCTTACACTCAGAGGAGTCAAATGGGTGGAAACCAGAGACCTCTGGGAAGAGCTTGAAAATGTGGCACCCCACATCTCAGTGGGGATGAGGCAAGGAGAAATCCTGTGGTTGACTTTCTGGTGCAAGAGGTCCTGATGGGGGAACCGGTCCTGTGAGGAGAGGCCGGAGGGGGACGATGGAGCTGCTTGTGCCCTGTGGGTGGAGGAGAGCTGGCATCTGTGGGCAACAGGGCAGCACCCAACCTTCTGCCTGCCTGCATTGACTTCCTAGGCCCTCATAATCCAAATGGTTGTGATAAAAATGACTGGGTTTCCTCCATGGCCTACAGCTGCTGTAAAGTAATGTCCCTGCACATACATACATACATATATATATATCTATATATATATATATATATCTATCTGTGTGTGTTTATTCAGTCACATACACTTGTTCTCTGTTGTGGAGAGTGCCAGTAGCTTCTGAGGTTCACAGATGTCCCCAGCAGCTGTACCTGCTGATGGAAGACAGGAGCCAGCCAGCTTGCTCTCCCACTCAGGGGAAGGCTGAGCTCCTGGTATCCTTCTTGGCACATGCTACTCATCCCTCTGCTGCTGAAGTCACCCTGGCGCCATCTCTCCTATGAGCAGAGGAGTGGTTGAGCAATACAGAAAAACAGGAAATTTTTTCAGTGAGAGTCCTCAGAAACATCTACTTCAAGTTGTACAGAGAGTTCAAAATGCACCAGAAATTTCAGTGCTCTCTGGAGATGATGGTGACCTCTGGCCACCCACATGGCTGCAACTCCTACATGCCAGTCCCACACAGCTGGCAGGGAGTGTTTGTAACTTCACAGCCTCAGGACAGAGAAGAGCTGCATTCCCTGAGGTTGCTTTCTTGCTCCATCATGAGGCAAGGCCCGTAGCTGTGGGCACAGAGACTGCTTGGCTCCTTCCCTTGCAGGTGGCTTTATCCACAGGGCTGGGCCACACTGCAGCCAGCAGGTAACAAAAGCCCTGGGCCTGGCTAGCACAGTGGCTGTGATGGAGATGGAGCGATGTACTGCGTGCAAGCTCCAGCACGCCTGCCAGTATTTGTATAACATTCTTTTGCTTTAATCTGGCTTTTTAAGTAAGTTGTCGAAGTCTTTTCTGTTCACTAGGAACCTTTTTTTTGACAGCAAGTTTTGTCTTTCAAAGCTCAGTTAATTCTGAGTGATGCTGAAAAACCCCATTTGCAGTGACTTTTTGTTTCATGCTGGTATTGTTTAGGCAAAAGTGGTTGGTTTTGTCCTGGAATAGCTCAGGAGTGACTGCATGGTCTAAACTCAAAGTTTCTGAAAATACTCACCTGTGAGGAGAGATCCAGCATGGCAGTGTTCACACCTAGATATTATCACCTTGGAGAGGTGCGGTGGTCTGAGAAAGAAGCTGGTGGCATTGTGCGAACTCTGGGCACCATAAACCCTGGAGCTGCAATGCATGGTGGGCAGAGAGGACCTGCAGAGTGCTGTGGGTCAATCTGGGATGCTGGGAGCCAGGCACAGGGGAAGTCCACACAGTGCCTGCAGAACCAACCCAGGGGAAATACTGTATGCTGAGAAGCTTTCAGGTGACTCAGAATCATAAAGCAAAGTACTTCTTGCTGCTTGGAGAAGTGAGGCTGAACAATGAGCCTGCTCCTCACCAGGGGATGGTCTTTGTAACCACATCCTCTCGTCAGAGCACGAGACAGGCAGCTCTGGGGGAAGGGAGGATGGCAGGGACTGAGTGGAGCAGAGACCAGGCATATGACAAATTGCAGGAAAGCATGTGGGAGCTCCTTTTTGTCCTTCCACTGGCTGATTGCAGGAAGCTCCCCAGGTGATGGCTTTAGCAGCTACTGGGACAGGAGACCTTATTGTTCTGCACTTGTGTTTACACTCACACCAGTTTTTGGCA